ATTCGATTTAGTATCTTTATTCTTTCTTTCTATTAATATTTATAACAACATTTCTCTCACGTTATTGAATAGATTTTGGTAATGTTGTATTTAATACTACATGACATTCCACACTCTGGATATACTATATTTATTTTTATATGCTGAAGCAGTTTCCACATATTTGATTTTTATAGATGAAAATTCTTTTGCATTTTCCTTTTTTTCTTATTACATCTTCAGTATATTCCTATATATGAAAATACTACATCAAAAATTGTGAATTATCTTAACGCTGCTGGTACGTCTTGTCAAATTGCTTTCCAGAAAGGTCCTTTCAACACATAACCTGCCCGTATCATATAAAAGTGTCTATCAATTAAATTTGTGTCAGCAGAGCATTTTATAGTTTAAAACAAAACACAAAAACTTTTTCAATGCGATAAGTTAAAAATGGTCCACATTTTCACATGTTCCTTTTATCCAAAGGGTAACTGGTTTCCATATTTTTCTATTGAGGCATTGGTATTTTTCTTATAGATTTTTAATATATATTAAATTAAATATATCTATTAAATTATCTAATATAAATATATAAATTAAATCTATATTTAGAGACAGAGAGAGACAGACAGAATATAAAGTATATTATTCCCTTTTTAAAAAAATTTATTGAAAATAATGTTTGTCATTTGACTTTCATATTTTGGGTGATTGTTTTTGACATATAGAAGTTTTCAATTTTGTCTAGTCAACATGTGATTTTTCCCTTTATGATTTCTCCCACTTCTTTTCTGATTAGAGTCCTTGTCCATTTTGAGTCTTAATTATTATAATTGTTTAATTATGTTTACCTTATTTCTTGTTGGTTAAAAAAGTTATTTAATTCTGAATTCTACTTTTTTTTTCAGTGTGTAATATGGTGTGAGGTTCCAATCGATTTTCTTTCCCCCAAAGAGCCAATTTTCTCAAACCCATTTGTTTCCAAAGTTTCTTTTTAGCTAGATATAAGTTCTTTCAAAAATCAAAGAATTTCCTTTCTAATTGGCCATGGGAAAGGGTAATCTGCCATGAAGGCTTCAACTAGTAATGCAGCTGGGCTGTTTTTCTAACTCCTTAGTGGCCACAAGCTACATGAAATTAGGGGGCAGGAAAGACCAACCAGAAGATTGAAAAGAAGTTAAAAGTGGGGCACCATCCCTCTCTTATGGCTTACGGGGGTAGAAAAGCTCTGAAGCAAAAGGAGACTTACAGATCTGGCCTATGTACCCTTCAGAATGCCCTTTGCTGCCAGCGCTGCAACTTCTAGGCTGCCCGGCTTACTGAAGGTGCTCCCCGTAATTGACCATTGCCACCGGCTTCTGAACGTTCTATTGCAGAGCTTTGCAGTTAGGAAGCCCCGGGTTCAGCCTGAAGGGATCTAAACCAAACCAAACCAAACCAAACCAAACCAAAACAAAAACAAAACCCTAATGGTGACTATGAATCTGGACATGAGCCTTCATCCCTGGCCCTTAAAACAAAGCTGGCCCACCCTCATACCATCTCAGTGAGCACATAAAACCCAGCTGTAGGCAATAGTACCTGTCTACAGTATTTTCCCAGGATTTATTTTGCCTTTGGAAACTTGGCTTTGATTTTTCAATCTTTGACTCACTCTGCCTGTCAGCTTTGGACATCTGCTTCAGTCTTTGGCAACTGGTTTGAATCTCTTCTTACTTCCTGGTATGGCACCTCCCTTGATTTTCATATCCCTGTAACATCAGGTAGATGTCCTGCCAGCCTCAGTCCCAGAGAACTTTCACCAAGTGCCATTGCAGTCCCTCTTCCAAGGAAAGATGCACATAGGCTATGGGATGAACTCTGTGGAAGACAGAGATTGGCAATTCACCTGAATCCTGACAGCTCACATCCCCTTCCACTCATCTTAGCTAGGTTACTAGGAAATACTGAAGAGATGGTAAAACCGAAGGGACTTGGGACATCTCTGTGCCTTTCAGTAAGTCTGGCTCTCACTTCGTCCTAAAGAGACACACATTTTACTGCCAAGTAAAATGAATTGAATCAATCCTAGTGATCAACAGCTCCCCAGATGGGACAGCTGAAACCTTTCACATCTTGTTCCATCCTCATCAGCCATATGATATCTGGGAACTAGAATGTGTTTCAATTACTGTGGTCTACTTCCCACACAAATAAAACTACAGCTCAACAGCCCCAAACTTCAAAGGCCAGACATTAGCAAAGTCTTTTATTAATCTAGGCGTGGTCATTGTGCTCCTTTGCCCGCCACCGAGACTCTGAGCAAAGTCGTAAAACAACTTAGAGCATAAACTTCACTGCTCAAAACCATTCTAGAGTCCAGGAGGCCCTCCTTGCATTGCCCTCCTTGCATTGGCCCCTGCCTACTTTTCTGACCTTCCCTCTGCCACTGACCCCTACGCTCCTTTGCTCAGGCTGCTTTAGCTACATGCCCTACTCAGTGTTGCTTCCGAATATCCCAGTTTATTTCCCTCTCTTTGAAACATTCTTTCCTCAGGCTTTTATGGCTCCATTCCTCACTTCATTCAGGCCACCTCCAATGTCATCTCCTCAGAGAGACCTTTCTTGATCACCCTACTTAAAACAGCAGCCTCAGTCACTCTCAATTCCCTGCTTTATTTTTCTTCGTAGCACTTTATCTGACATTTTATTCACCCACAAATACACACACACACACACACACACACACACACACACACACACACACACACAGTTTATTGCCTCTCCACTAGAATATAAGCTCTGAGAAGGTAGAAACATTGACTTGTTCTTTGCGTTTCCCCCACCTCGATCAGCATCTGACATAAAGTAAATATCCAATAACTGGTAGCTTGAAAATATTCAAATGTGAATACCATAGTTTACACAAGTCTGGAGAAAAACTGCCTTCCAAGGCCCCAATTATAAAAACTCAACTTCCACCACCTAGGGTTTTCTGATTATCATGATAGGAAAATGGCTTTTAATCCAATTTGCAAAAGATTGTATAAAGAAAAAATTCTGGACAATAGCATTTAATGAGACTTATGTGTGAGGTTCTTTCACATGTATTAGCTGATTAATCCTCATTGAAGCCCTCTAAGGCAGGCATTATGTCCATTATCACAGATAAGGACAGTGAGATTCTGCGGCTAACTTGCATAATGCCATGTGTATTGAAGTTTCCGATTCAAGAACTCTGACTCCAGCAGCCAGGCTTTTTTTTTTCTAATATGGTGCATTGTCTCCCATGCAATATTGTCAGAAGTGCTTAACTTACATTATCCATTCAGAAAAGTAGAGCTCAAATGATTTTACCAGTAACACGGCTCTTAGTAGGTGCACCTTATCCCTAGGTTTTCTGACACCCGCCCAGTTCAGCAAGTGACAGCATAAAATAAATAAAACTTAAAAGACCATGAGACATTTGTACTCTTCACTTAGGAACCAGAGACCCCCACATCTTGTTATGCTGCAGTGGACAGAGTTGTCTCTGAGGTGTTATCTTTCAAAGATGGTGGAGGTGCTAGAGCTTTTGGAAAGAAACTAGCAAGAGAGTTGGCTCTTATAAAAGATAAATATATATTCATTTTCTCATTCAACAAATATGTATTGAGTGATGACCATAGGCTAGGCACAGAGCTAAGTCCTGGGAACATAGTAATGAATAAATAAGATAGACATAGTCTTTGACTTCATGAACCTTACTGACTAAAAAGGACCTTATCAAACTAAACATATGCTGATGTTATAAATTTGTTTTCATGTATTCGCCCAAGAAATATTTATAGATTACATACTACATGTCATGCTTTGTATTAAGAGGAGGGAATACAATGGCGAGCAAAGCCATTCATGATTTCTGCCTTCATGGAGCTTACAGTTCAATGAGGAAGACATTAAATAATCACATGCATACTATCGTGCTATGAGATCCTACCAATAGGAAAAACTGGCTTCATTAGATTAGGAAATATCACTTGAACTGACATTTGAAAATTAAACTGGAGTTGACTAGGCAATGATGGGAAGGAAGAACATTCCAAGCAACTCCAACAGCATGTAAGAAGATCCTGTTGGAGAAGGAAAGGTGGTGAGTAGGAAGGATGTTGAAAGAGGCCAGCTGAAGAGCTAAGAATAAGGAGCACCCTCGTGTCTGGTGGGCCTGAGCTGTAGGCTGAAGCAGAACTGGCAGTGCACCTTCTCAGTTGGTCTCTATGTTAATGGTCATGGTGCTGCAGCAAATCTGAGCTGGAGACGCAGAGCTTTGAAGCAGAGAGGTTCATTACATTATGAGGCAGGAAGAAGACTAGATGATCGCTTTTGAGATTGCCATATTTAGTAGAGGAACAGAGTGCTGTTTTGGTAGCCCACTGATTTAGATTTAAGTTCTTCAGCTGTTACCTGTAAGCTCCTCAGCTATTAAGTGGGAATAAATATGTTTCGCTTTCAGGGTTCTTATGAGAATCAAATGAGATAATGTATTAAAACACTTAGCACAGTGCTCGGCTTATGGCAGGTATTGAATAAATAATAGCTATTATTTTTCTTCACCTGTTAAATGGAGGCAATGATAGTACTGGTTACATCACATGGTTATGAAGATCTATTATTAGATTATGTATGTGGAAGCATAAGGCTGGGACTTCTTGGCGCGGTCCTATTTCTAATATTAAGAACCAGGAGCCTACAATTTCCAGAGCCTATTCTAACGCTCCTTCCAAAAGCAGGGGCATTGCCTTCATCTGCCTGGTGCACCATGTGCATTCTTTTAAAAGCAGTTTCTCATTTTTTTCACGTTTCTAGGTTTATGGTTATCTTTCAATTTGGAAATCTCTCTCCCATCCCAGGCAGGAAAGCCCTGTAGGAGAAGGCACACCCATTATGGCTAGCCTGGGCGGGCCCCTCCGCGGTGCCCACTGGTGATGGGTTCAAACAGTCTGGGTCTCCGCGGCGGGACGGGCCAATCAGAAGAAGTTTGGCCCTCTGCAGTTTCCGTCCGCTCACTAGGAGGCGCTGCGGTAGCCACGGCTGCTCCCGGGGCTGTCGCGGGCTGGAGCGGTTGGGCTGGCTCTGAGGCTGGTAGCCATGGAGTGGGGTTCGGAGTCGGCGGCCGTGAGGCGGCACCGCATCGGAGGGGAGCGCCGGGACGGCTCGGCGGCCTTGCGGCAACCGGAGAGGGAGGCCCCGGCGCAGGAGCCCTTGGCAGACGCGTGCGGCGGCGGCGTGAGGACGCGGAAGCGAAGCGCGGCGGGCAGCGCTGGCGCGAGTCAGGCTGCGGGGACCGGACTGTCCGAGGCGCGCGCGGCGCTGGGGCTAGCCCTCTACCTGCTCGCGCTGCGGACGCTCGTGCAGCTCTCTCTGCAGCAGCTCGTGCTGCCTGGGGCCACTGGGCACCACAGGGAGTTCGACGCGCGCCAAGCCAGGTACCGGCCTCACCCTCCCGGCCCGCGCGTCCCCCGTGGGTCGCCTGCCAGAGCCCGGGCACCGCACCTGTGTGCACCCGCCCCAGCGGGACCGCTCAGGCTCGCCGGCACCGCCCTGCTGCACATGAGGTGGGGTGGCCTTGCTCCACCCTCTTCTGGAGTCCCAATTTACAGGACGGGGACTTGCGTGGCCCCCGAATAGGCTGGTGGTACAGATGGGGAAGGCCAGGGGGATTGCGCTTGTTTTCCACTCCCTTTTCGTCCCACTTGCACGTGGTTTGGTTGTTAGTCGGTCCCTCATTTTCTGGAGCAACTTCCACTTTTTGCTAGCGCTGCTGCTTTCCAAATGAAATGGAGAGTGAAATTTGTATGCTTAAACAGTTTTATAAAGTCGGATCCTGATGAGGTATCGGAAAGAAATAATGCAGTGGTCCAACTTTTTAAGGTTCACAGTACTCAAACCTGAAAGCTATGGAGGCTCAACCTGGAAGACTGCACTTCAAAATTTTATAATTTCAGAAGTTCTCAGATTCCTGGAGGTTGTCTTTGGGCCCCTAGTGTGTAAAGTTTAACTTTTTTTTTTTTTTAATACACCATTAAGTGTGCTAGGAAAGGTGATTATATCAAAGGTATTGTAACCTGAGTGTGTCAGAGCTCAAAAAATCATAAGCTAGCAGTTTTCAAAAGCCACTGTACTTTGAAAACTTTCTTTGAACACAAAGTGCTGGAAGCTTGTTTTATTAAGGACTTTCTGGAACACGCTTCCCCTACCCGCCTTTTTTCCTCCACTTGGAATGCAGTGAAAAGACAAAATATTTTTTGTTTGTTTTGGCCTAAATTGAGGTTATTTAGGCCTTGTGTGTATACTAGAGGGCTGAGTCCATTCTTCACAATCAAAAGCGTTTTTTTTTTTTGTTATTGTTTGTTTATTTAGTGATGACTTAATTGTCATCACTTATTAGTTTTGGTAACCCAGAATCAGTAACCCTCCAGAGAGTGGCACAATGAAGTTGCATTCTGTCCTGTCTAGTTTTTAGCAGTTACACATTTTGACTAGAATACTTGGTCTTTGTATTGATTTCAAATGGGGATTGGGAGAAGTTGGGAGTGGGAGAATAAAGAAAACTCCCAAGGGCTGAATTCATGGGAGACAAAATGAAATGATGGAACTTTACAAGTGATTTTTCACAGAGTACCTGAAATAATAAAAGGCAGCCTTTTTATGTGAGAAGTCAACTTGTTTTGGGAGTGAGGGGACGTGTAGAGGAAGAGTTCTTCTGTGCTAAGTGTTAGTCTTAAGCCTAGCACACTTTGTCGTCATTCTTTTGGTCACTTCCAGGGATTATCTTGAACATATAACATCCATTGGCCCCAGGACTACAGGAAGTCCAGAAAATGAAATTCTGACGGTGCGTTACCTTTTGGAACAGATTAAACTGATTGAAATTCAAAGCAACAGCCTTCACAAGATTTCAGTAGATGTACAGCGGCCCACAGGCTCCTTTAGCATTGATTTCTTAGGAGGTTTTACAAGCTACTATGACAACATCACCAACGTCGTGGTAAAGCTGGAACCCAGAGATGGAGCCCAGCATGCTGTTCTAGCTAACTGTCATTTTGACTCAGTGGCAAACTCACCAGGTATGTTCCTGTTTTTTAGTCATTTTGAAATTATCACAGCCCACAAAGCTTATTAACACCAAGCTGCTTGGGCAATTGTGGGACACCATTTTCTTGGACAAAACCTTATTTGTGATAGCAGGCAGGATAATGAGAATGTCATTTAGTTTAAGATCTAACCCCTTGCTATTCTCTGAAAGTGCTTTATTTATTTATTTACTTATTTATTTAAACATTAGTGCCGGGAGTCCAGTGACAGGACATGGAATGTTCCCGAAGTAGCTTTATCAGTGTTACCAGTAAGCATCTCTGAGTCCTGGAGTTAGGTTCTGCAATTTCAAGTGTTTACTCAGCTAGGTGTTGTACTAGGCTTTGGCGATATGGGATAAAAAAAAACAATCCTTGCCTTCATAGGACACATGGTTTGGAGGACATCTAGCAGTTTCTGTAGATGCGAAAAGTAAGAATTTTGTTCCACTGAGGATACCATACTTTTACAGTACCTCATTAATCTATAAATCTTCCTCTGAAAATACTTTGTCAAAATAGAATACTTAATGTTTAAGACAGTGTCTGACATAATACTTTGAACGAATGAGAATCCCTAAATTGAACTGCCATTAAAAAAATAAGACTCATCAGGAAAATGTTTTCAGTAATTAAGAGATTATAAGTAGGGAAGAATAGAAGATAGCATTTTACAATGGAATCATAGCATTTTAGAGGTAGACAAGACCTGAGATAGCATCAACCCCCTTGTTTGACAGAAATAAACTTTACTGATGACCATTGATCAGAGACAGAGGTGGAATCAAATGCTGGGTTACTGGCCAGTCAGTTCTTTAGCTACATTTGAAAGGAAGGAGAATTAATGTTCCCTTTGGCAAACTACTTAACCTCTCCTTTCCTTAGTTTCTGATCTGTAAGATGGAGATAGTAATAGTACTTTCCTATTTGCATTGCTTTATAAGTTTTATAAGAAAAACATAGACTAGTGCCTGGCATGAAAAATTTTTTTGTTTGTTTGTTTGGGGTTTTTTTTTTGCTATTAATTGTTATTGAACATCAATATTTCCAGAATGCTTGAACTATAGCAGGCCCAATATGATCATCTAGAATTATACAAAATTTAAAATAAAATTTATTTGCTTGATTGAGTGATTCATCCTAGGATATCTTTAATCAGAAAGCTTGCCAATTGTATTTAGAGTGTAACATGCTTTTAAAAATATCAGTCTACACATATTTTCAAGATTACATGTAAAAGCAGTCAGATTTGAAAAAAAAAATTGTGTTTTCAACACAACAGTGGATTGAGCGCATGGAGTACAGAGTAATTTGGTGAAAAAGATGAGTTGTTGACTGTCAGTAGAGAGGTCAGCAGAACCAATGTGAATTGTTTAGGGTAGGAGAAATTGACCATGCATTTGTAGCATGAGAAGAAAATGACATCCTTCCCTCAGTTCAATATTGGCGCAATATCCCAATGACATTATATTATGAAATAGTCATATTCTATTAAGTATTTTTTCAAGATGTTAAAAAAGTCAGTGATACAGCCATCTGTTTAAATTCAGAAATACCTTTGCATATGCTAGGGAAACCAGTGGTCTTTCATGCCTATTTCAAAGCAGTAATAAAGTAAGTGTCACTCTTTGCCCACTATTATGATTCTTGAATTCTAGGAAGGGCCAAATTAACACCTCAGTTATTTAAGAGCATTATGTAAGAAAGATGTGTATATGAGTATCAGAAACATAGTGCCAAATGTTACAAATCATATGTATGGAGTCTAATAATGAAAGGATGGCATTTTTGTGTGTCACTGGAACTCAAATTAAAATTTTATAAGAATACCTATACCAACAATCTCAAGGGCATTTCTGTCAGTAATAAAGTAGGTAAAAAATCTACTCATAAAATAGACTACACCTGAATCCTTTCAGTGGATGAACTAATAATTGAAACAGGTATTTTTTTTTTTTTAAAAAGTTCTTCATAGCAATATATCTGGACCTTAGAAACTGATACCAATTAGGAGTAATGTTACCCACAGAAAGGCCTTAAATATCTTATTGTGTTTGCTTTGTGGTTCCAGGTTGATGGTAGAAGAGACATTGAGTTATTTTAGAGGTGACTTCAATTTCAGAGTTAATTCTAAATGGGAAAGAGATGTTGATTAACCATCCAGCCCTTATAGATACTGCCCTCTAATTTTATTTCACGTAAATATATTTGACCTTCTCTAGTTCTGTTCTCAGATAACAAGACCATTAAAAGAGGATAAATAGTTTAAAATTTTAATCATCCATATATAGATATGTCTCTTTCAGTTTCCCTTTGAATAAAGAAAATTTTGTGGTTTGCTTCTTATTTTGAAATAACTCACAGCCTTAAAGTTAAAAACCATTAATTTTATTTGGTTTTGAGAAGGCAGCACTTTTTACTGATAGCTTGATAGTAATTAGTTATTACTTTAGTTCACTTTAATTAAAATACAATTCAGTAATTACTGCCAAGACAACTAATAGGCAATAGTGTCTTGAGTAGGAATGGAGTCTGAAATTTAACAGTGCCAAAACAAGCATTTTAGCTAGCTGCAGAGCCTTAAATTTGCAAAGAGAAGAAGGAAAAACACTGAGTGCCGACGACATTATCTTGTAATCCTCACAGTACACCTGTGGGGTAGGTGTCATTAGCCTTGTCTCTATACCAGGCAGTTGTGGGATAAATGATAGCTAGAATTTACTTCCAAGTCTTTCTTACTTTAAAACCCATGCTAAACTCTGTAGCACCATGCCTCCCAATGTATAAACCCAGAAATACTCTTCTCTGGGTTATTAGTCTTTAAACTTTTTATTATGGAAAATTTCAAATATGTACAAAAGCAGAATTGTTTAATGAACCTGGGTGTACCTGTCACCCAGCTTGGACAGTCTGATCTTGTTTCTTTACCCCACTCCTGCAACCCTTGATTATTTTGAAGCAGGTTTCAGCTCTATCAATTTCTCTGTATTTCAGTCTATATCACTGAAAGATAAGGACTCTTTTCTGATACGTTTGTAATACCATGCATTATCTCACTTAAAAAATAATTCCTTATAGCAAATATCCAGTTTCTTTAACTACCTCTTACAGTACTTTTCTAAAAAGTCAAGGCACTAAAGTCATCATTATAATCACCTTGAATTAATATATAAAGTTTCTGAATCAAGAAGTTGAGATTCGATGAGGTCCTCTCCTTTATCAGTGCTGGGATGAGGGATACTACTTAGGTCATTAGTCTTCTTTCCTGTGTCTGAGGTTCCTTGGAGAAACTTTAAAAATGCTATACCGTCCAAACTGACTACTCTGTGTATGCAGAGTGATCTTCAGCTTTTATGATTTTGGCAGGAAAACAAGCAGGAAAGGAATGGGCAGTGGGGGGAGATGATCTAGGAAGCTATGAACACCAGAAGTGAGACTATTACAGAGGTTGTGGAATAAAGATAAAGAAGGGAACAAATTGCTTTGGGTTGACGAGAATGCTAGTTTTCAGAATTAATTTAGGCCTTACCTGGTTAATTATTCAACAGCTACTAATTGAGTGGCTACTCTTGGCTAGGCATGGTTCTAGACATTAAGAGTAAGTCAACAAACAAACCAGGCAAAAATCCTTGCCTTCATGGAATTTATTGCTGGTGGGTGTAATTGCCACCTTATGGTAACAGAGCTATGCTTCTCGTCTTGCAGCTCTGTTATGGTTCCTTGATGAGAAAACTTCATTCCTAGCCTTGATGATTCATACTGTAAGGGTTGTGAAATCAGAGAAGCAAATCTGTGTTTCTGATTTGAAGGTGCCAGTGATGATGCAGTTAGCTGTTCAGTGATGCTGGAAGTCCTTCGTGTCTTGTCGACATCTTCAGAAGCCTTACGTCATGCTGTCATATTTCTTTTTAATGGTGCTGAGGAAAATGTCTTGCAGGTGAGATTTTACTGTTTTAAATACTAGGCTTGAATAATAATAAAAAATAATAATAATTAACACATTTGATTATTCATCTGAGTAGTATCATAAAATCATATGCAAAAGAAATATTGTACTGGGAAGTACTTTAAAAATTCTACAGCCAGTTGTGTACTCATGTTCAGCATTTAAAAATTCAACTTAGAACGGATCATCTTGTCAGTCTGTGATTCATAAAAGGTCTCTGTGATGGCATAATTATTCACCTCAGTTTTCTTTCACGCTGGAGTTTCAGAGATGTTTTGAGGCAGGCATACCGCATGAATATTCAACCATGTGGATTGTCCCTTCTCCTATTTTTTTGCCCTTTCTTTTGCACAGCCTCACACTTACTAAGGATTTTGTTTGGCACCACTCATGGAAATCAGGCTGCCTTCTGTGATGGTGACTTTCCACTCAGCAAACTGCACATAGCCATTATACATAGAGAGATAAACAGATAGATGTCTTCAGATACAGTCTTTGAAAAAAATGTTTATTTTCCTATTTTTCCTCTTATCAACATAGTTCTGTCTTTAAAATAAGCAAAATAGCAAAACAGAGACTTTGATCATTTCATGTTGTGTAACCTATATTTGGTTTTTTCCTTCTCATTCAGGCTAGTCATGGTTTCATTACTCAGCACCCCTGGGCCAGCTTGATTCGTGCATTTATTAACCTGGAGGCAGCAGGTGTAGGAGGCAAAGAACTTGTATTCCAAACAGGTATGTGAGGCTATATTTTATATTTTAATGCAATTGCATTGTATACTTTCATGTAATTCTTTTTTGATAAAAGTGGAAAGTTTTTGAATATAATATCTTTAATGAAATGAACATTGTTTTTAAAGGATGAGGTAGTTTTAGCTTGTCTTTGTATGGTTGTTATTATATGCCAAATGTCATTCAGAACATTTTATGTATAAATAAGTCACTTAATCCTCAGAACAACATGAGGGAATAGTACTGTTATTACCCTCATTTTACAGATGAGAATACTGAGGTAAGAGAGATTACAACTTGCCTTAGGTTTCACTATTGGTAGATGACACAGCAGGATTTGAACCTAGGCAGTCCAGATTCAGAGCCCTGTTCTTACCACTAACCAGGTTGTTGTATAGATGGCAAACTTACTTTTAGCCATTATGGATGATTATTATATAAATAATAAATGACAATAATTTCATGAATTAAAATGAGAAAATTTACCCATACTTAAAGGAATTTAAATGCATTTACCTAGGGTTAATGAGGTCTAGACCCAAGTCAGTTCCTTTATTTACATTTGTTGAGTAGTTACTTTTGCTAGTTTATAGTCTGTGTTTTTTTTTTAATAAATGTAGATAGTTTTACATAAAAATTCTACAGTCGTATACATTTTAGATATAATTGCATTATCTGGAAGGATATAAACAAACTGTATAATAGTCACTGCTGGGTGGTGAGTATTGGCTAGTGGAGCCGTGGTGAGTGTGACTGGAGAGGAAGGTGGAGCACAATGTAAAAAAACAGTTTGACTCTCCATTGCTTCATGAATTTAAAACCAGAACTGTCATAACTGCTTTACTTATACTCTTTATAGTTTTCTGTAAAACTATAAATTTTCGCATTGCATGTGATTATTTTCATAATAAGGCAATAACAGACTCATTACTAGTTAGCAACATATATTCAATTTAAGTGTTTTACTCATTCTAAAATAAAATCCCCACATTTCAAAAGTACTTTTTTCTGGAAGGCATCCTACAGAAAATTTGGAGAGGATATTTCCCTCTTTCTCTGAGTTTTTATACAGTATTTTCCCTCTAGGTTTTGGTAGCTTATTCTTGTGGCTAAACTGCATACCCAAAAGTTTTCTGGGTGCAGACATGCTACTGCCTCTCCCAGTATCTCACTTCCAGATTCCACTGCCTACAAAAGACTAGCTTTCCTTTGGGGATGGCTTTCAGAAAGCTAGTTATTGTTGCTTTCACAGTTGAATAAAAGAAGGTAAAGGCCGCCTGGATTTGGAGTTCTGCTTGAGAGTGTATGCTAGATCGCTCTGTCCTCTGCTTCTTTAACAGGCCCTTATTTTCCTGTGCAGTAGCACTTGTTCTGTCCTGGAACCTTTCAGTTGAAACAGTTTGTACTCTCTAGTGCTCCATTGTCATTTCAGAGAGGGACATTCAGTTGGGGAATATTTGGTGACTAGAATAATCATTACTACCTAATTTTTAAAATGGGCCAGAATGCATGAAAGAATGACTTGATTTATCAGGCTAGTGGTATGTATCATGAGTCAAGAAGGCTCGATTTAATAATTTTGAAGGTAGTATAAAATTCATTATTTTAAAATTTAAAACAGATTAAACCAGTAATATATGTTCCTTATAAAATACTCAAATACTTCCAGCTTTGAGTAGAAGAAAGCCCATAAGGAAAGGAGTCACAGATTTCTTTTTTGTCTCCTGTGAAAAAAATTATCCATTCCCCTGTTATCGTACCATCCAGAGCAAACCATGTTATATTTTAATCTCTACCCTTCTGGAATGTTTTATATACATATACATTAATATATTTTATATATTATGCATACATAATGTACATATCTTACAAAACTGGGGTCATACTACTCTATCTGCTATTGTATAGCGTGCTCGAGATTGAATTCTTAAAAAAATAAGCTTTATTGAGATATCATCCATATTTACAATTTACTCGGTTAAAATATAAAATTCAGTGGTTTTTAGATATTCACAGAGTTGTGCAGTCATCACAGTCAGTTTTAGAATCTTCATCATCCCAAAGAGAAACTCCATACTCATTAGCAGTCTGGCATCTTTCACTTCGTATAATATTTTTTGAGGTATGTCCACGTTGTAACATGTATCAGTACTTTATTCTTTTTTTTTTTTTTTATGGCTGAATTATATATTCCATAGTATGGATATATCTCATTTCGTTGATCATTTATCAGTTGATGGGCATTTGTGTTGTTTCGACTTTTAGACTATTATGAATGATGCTGCTATGAACATTTGTGTGTCTGTGTGGATATATATTTTATTTCTTTTGGGTAGAAACCTAGGAATGGAATCCCTAGGTCATATGGTAAATTCATGTTTACCTTTTTAGGAAGCTGCCAAACTAAACAATTAAATTTTATTTTAGAAGAAATGTAAATTCAAACAACAGTAAGAATTTTTTAGATTAGATTTGCAAAAAGTAGGTGGAATGATAATATTCAATACTGCTGAATATAGAGGAACAGACATTTTCATACACTGTTGGTAGAAGTGCAGATTGATGCAGTTTGGGTACAGTTTGGTAGTATATACCACTTTATTAAATGTGCAGACCCTTCTGTCCAGTAGCTCCACTCGTAGGAATTTATCCTATAGAAAGAGTTGCACATAGGCACGTAGATCTAAGTACTGCATAGTCTTCTTGGCTTTTTTTATGAGTAAAAAATTGAAATCACCTTCAAGGTCCGTGCATAGGAGACTGGTTATATTAATGGTGACTTAAACATTTTTTCACTCTTCAATCATTAATTCCCCCCCTCCCATGAGATCATTTCCATCAGCACACAAACATGCTTTTTTTCTCTTCTTAAAGAAACCATTTTTGATCCCTCCTCACCCCACAGCTATTGCTTGTTTCTCAGTTTCTGTCTATGGCAAAATTCCTTGACTGGAATTCCTTTATTCCTGTTTTTGAACTAGTTGTTTTTAGCTTTAAGTTTACTGTTGTACAAATCACATTGCTAAACACAGGGGTCAGTTCTCAGACCTCATCTTACTTGGCTTCCCTAACAACATTTGCTGTTCTCAGTCTCTTTTTATTAATTCTTCCTTTTTTTTTCCTCCTTTCTTTTGAGTGTTGATGCCACCAACTAAATTTAAAAGGAAGTAGAGCAGTGGGAATGATGCTGTTTGACTAAGCTGTGTCTGCTTTTACTGGACTTTCAGGGAACTTTGACTTTTCATTCATTTCTTTTCTCCTTTTTTTATAAAAAAATCTTCAATTCTTTTTTTTGTCATCAAAATATAATAGACAATTAGTTGCTTATATTTACATTGTACAATTCAATGAGTTTTTTTCACTTATAGTTTGCATACAATAATATACCACTTTCAGTTGTACAGCATAGTGATCAGAGATCCATATAACTTGCAAAGTGATGACCCCACTAAATCTAGTACCCTATACCCCCTTACATATTTATTACAATATTATTAACCCTCTTCCCCATTCTACACTCTACATCTCCATGTCTTTTCTGCAACTATCCATTTGTACCTCTTAATCCCTTTGCCTTTTTTTTCCCTCCCAACCCCCCTCCCATCTAAATATTCTTTGTATCAATGAGTTTATTTCCACTTTTGATGTTGTTGTTGATTTTGTTCTTTAGATTTCACATGTACGTGCAATCATGCAATATTTGTCTTTCTTTGTCTGCCACACATGCTCATACTCTTTGCATTAAGAAAGATGGAGCTCATTTCTTAAGAAGCAATTGTTACACAAGAGGAACCATCATATGGCAGGAGATAATGGCAGGAGAAAGAAAGTAAAACGAAAATATTTCTGTATCTTCCTTCCATCTTTCTCTGTGAGGTAATTGAAAGCTTTCTGGGAGAGTCAGGATAGGGTAATAATTAGGAGCACAGGCTCTGCAGTCAGACGACCTAAGTTCAAATCTCAGCTGTAGCAAACCCGAGGCGCATAACCTCAGACAAGTCACATAACTGCTCTGTGCTTCAGTTCCTCATCTGTAAAATTGGAACAGTGTTTGTACCTACCTCTTAAGATTGATGACTACTGAGTAAAATCCTTAAGTTTGCGATTTCTCATCTAAGGGCACCCTTTGCCTTGTTTTTATCATGGTAAGACTATCTTACTCAGGAGCTGATCTGCCTTCCCCATCTCCCTGGCCTGCCTTTTTACATCAAAACTTGGTCCATAGGCCCCAATGGACAATCGGTGAGAGGCCTGCATAGGGCTGGAGCTTTAACATGCAGTGGTGAATCTCTAAGGAGTTAAAAGCCAGGTAGTGGATATTTAAAACTGTAAAATATAAGAAGGGTCTTATATTTTCTCAAGTATTTTTTATAGTAGAATGTATAAATGAATTTAAACTTTCATCTTTAGGTGCCTTTATTTCTTTTTTTATTGTCATGAAAGAAAAGCACAGAGCTCTGAGTGTTCAGCTTAATGAATTTTTACAAACTGAATATAATCATGTGATCAGAACCCAGATCAAGATTGAGAGTATTGCCAGCACTCCACAGGGCTCCCTTGTGTCTCCTTCATAGTCATTCATCACCTCAAAGGTTACCACTGTTCTTGGTAGATTTAATTTTGCTTGCGTTTGAACTTTCTATAAATTGACTCATATGCTATGTTTTCTTTTGTGTATAGCTTTTTTTTTTACTCAACATTATGTCTGTAAGATTCATCTGTGTTGCATTTAGCAGTAGTTCATTCTTTTTCACTGATGAATAATATCCCACTGACAAGAATATCTGTTCTGCTGGTGATGTTAGATTGTTTCTAGGTTTTGGCTCTCATGAATGGTGCAGTCATGAACATTCTTGTAAATGTCTTTTGGTGAATGTGTCTGTGTATGCACATTTCTGAGGAGTCATAAGGTGTGCATATTCAGCTTTGGTAGAATATTGGCATCTAAGTATGGTAAGTGCCATACTTAGATGCCAATATCAATAAAATATTAGCAAACTGAA